CTTTGCCACTTTTTCTTACTGACGATAATTGTTTCATCTTCACGTGAATATGATACTCCGTTTTCTTAAAAAAATCAGAGTGAAGTGGTTTATCTGTCACAGACGTGACCACAATTGTCCTGAGCTACCTTTTTTGGTAACTTAAAAACTAAACGAGAGAATTCCATGGAGATTTGACTCACACTGTCGCTTTTCCAAATCGATTACTGCAAAAACGATGATTCAAACACCACAGAAAACAGTAAAATAATGTTATTTCCGAGACTTTTCTCAAGCGAACAGTGTTGGGAATATCTTTACCTAATCAGAAACAGACGGATAAATTTCCTAATGACAAGACGATCACCATTTCTAAAGATATATTACTATACACAGAAATCATCATCATGACCATAAAAATGCTTCGTGAGTTGTTTTCGAAAGCTAAAACGGTCAGCCATTGTTTTGAACTGAGTAGTGTGTTTATAAAATGGTGACATGTTTGTGGTACCCTCCAGGTCAGGGATAGTGCGTTTGAAATTTTCTTCTGGTAAATCAATACATTTTTATAATGAATTTCGATATTAAATCACAAATTTCAAATAAATGTCGTCGAAGACTCCAGTATATTTGGTATTCGTATGAAAGCTGGGACTCACAGTCGTAGTGGGGTAGAACTATGGACAGTGTATATTCAAAAACCAGAACGCGTAGTTACTGAAATGAAGTAAAAACAATAAGTAGGCCTTTGAAAAACGTCTAACCAGGATAGCCAACGAAACCTCCAAATCTAACTAACTCCAATAGTGGAATAAATCGTTATCTGACTTCGATTTCTATTCCAAAACTGTAAATTCAATGAAGCCTCTTTCTGGTGGGTATTTCATATCCAAAACATTGTTTTCACAACTTGAAGCATTCCACAATTTGTCTCATATTTACCTTCGTCGTTTCACTGCATTGTAACCGATATATTACGCTCGATGAATGCTGAGCTTGCTACGTGTATGACGTACTTGATTTTTTGCCTTTAGTAAGAGTTCAAAGAAAGTAACTCACCTATAATAACACTGTTCTACTGTACTCGTGGATAAATCCCCCAGACTCGGAGTAAACCAACTGTTGAAGCTCCAGTGAATTAGGTAATATAAGCTCTTGAGAGAAAACGTTAAAAGCGGTCGATCAAAGTCTGGTTCGAATCTCATATGACAGTCAGAGACCAAGGTCACCCAAGTTGTCGATCATTAATGCTTTTCAGGTATGATATCTCGATAAAAAACGACTAGGTATTGATACTGATCATTAAATATGCAGGACTCTGGTGCAGGTGGCCCCTTTAGGAACAACTGTCAGTCCTTATTGGATTCGAAGTCAAAAGTTTTGCTATTCATGAAGTTATAAGTGGAATTTTCGATAGAATTAACCATGCGGTAGTTACGTCAGGTTCGAACAGTCACGCAAAAATTTGCTCAATATCCTTCTCATGCACGAACGTACGCCTTTTGGTATTTATTCGCTCTCAATCCCGGCTAGTATTGATTAGTCAATCTTGTAACGTACCCACTGATTTTGCACGGTCACAATCGAACAAAAGCAAGGCTTAATCACTAAATTGCATCCCCAGCGGACTACTTGATCACTTACTTCCCTGCGTGCTTGCCGTCTGCTCATCCGCAGCTGCCGGTCTTGTGTTTGCTTTCTTGCAAGTAAATAGAATATAACCATTGCGCTTTCTACTGCTAATAATGAACATACCAGCCACTAAACATGATAAATACAAATTCTGAGAAGATTCAATCGATCAAAGACATCTTTTAGCTCAATCGTGCATCTAGATACATGAGGCGTTGCTCAAAGCCCTCGATAATCACCTCTCTCGGGATATTTTCTAGACACAAAGCTTTCGTCAGTTAAAATTGCATTAGATTCCTATTGGATCTGTTATGGCAGGTGAAGTTCTGACGATAGAGTGGTTATCTAGACTAGCCGTCTGTTTTCCGGGCGAATTTTATTTGTGATCAAGAGAGTGCTTTATTTTCTATCTGACTCTCAGATATACCACTGTTGAAATATTTGCCGAATTACTGGAATGTTTCTGTTTTTATTGATGAAAACGTCCTTTTTGCTGCCGATGACAAACTTCAAACGTCTTCTTATGAAAGTTTCATTAGTACCTATCAACTGTGACCTTCTGTAATTCTACTAATGAGTTGAATCGCCTCGAGAATCTCATCACAACCTATCAAACCAAATTACTTGCACAAGTAGCGGACACTTGATAGACATACGCATCACTAATATATAGCATAGGGTAAATTGCACGAATCAAACAACATGGGTTTTTATGGACCATTCGTAATACGCACATCAACTAGATTGAAACCCTTAATAATATGGGATCTGACGGTGTATAACAAAAAGATCCTTTTCAGTTTTTCGTGTGTTACTCTGTTTCTCCCCCCAAGAAGAGCAAAGTGATGTAAACTAGCTGTCTAATAACGTGCCGCACTAACTGCGCTAGTAGAACCTGAAAATAACATTTGCCAATAAGGCACCAAGTTTGGTGCTTCTTGCCAAAATACGATTTTGTCTTCAGTGTTAGGTCGTACCAGACCAGAAGCCATAATGTATCAATAAAAGAAGTGGTGGTATAGAGTCACTATATAAATGCGCAGGTTTTCATTTTTCTACTGTTTCTGTTCTTCTACATTTGACCCGCTTGTCATCTAAAAACTGATTATGACTCGCTATGTGCGCACGTTCCCCTTTGAGCAAGTTCCACTTGAGGTCAGCAGTTTTGGTAACACCTGTTGTTCGATATATCTTATACAGTCAAGTAATTTTTCTGACCTGGCCGAAACTCTTCTTTTCAACGGACTCTCTACCTTTGCTCTTATCTGGTTGTTACATTGATCTTTTTTAAAACCAAGCCACAAAAGAAAATCTGACTGGTTAAAACTGTTATAGAATAAACGCGATCAGTAAGTGCACTCAGACGGACGCATAGGTTAAAGTAACTGGCGTAAAGAAAACAGTGGAACTTAAATTCAATGAAAAAAACCCACTCTAATTTCCAAAGATTCAAGTTGAAATTTTTCAAATAATGATACTGGTTTTGGTAGAGCCATATTGTCTAAGACAGTAATGTTTGGTTAGTATAGGGGAGACAGGGAAAAATATAAAAAACAATCTAATGCAGTTTATGGATTACACATTGGCCCGTGTTTCGTGTTGCATGATGGGATTGCAGTACAAGGTTTTGGTCGATTGTGAGTTGCTCAATTAAGAGGTAACAGACGATTCCTGAAGCTGGAGTCTTTTGGTAATTCAAATAGTCACCATTAGTTCGTGCTAAAAATGACAGCGTAGAAGGTTGTTGAATCAGTTTTACACGTCTGTCATTTTTTCCAGTTCGTAACAGCCCAGGCGGCAAGTTCTTTGGATTTGAAAGTTTACTGCATTATGAGATAAAATTCGTTATGAATAAGTATTAGATACTACGAAGACAATCTAGGAGATTGTAAATGTAGAAAATAGAGCACTCACGCATTATCAGTCGTTTCCTGATAATCTTAGATCTGCCTAAGATACGGTAGAAGAGACAAAAAGGAAAACCAATTGAAAGCTGAATCGAAATGGTCTGAACTTGTTTTGAGACGTACTAGCTCAATACATACCCTGCTCAGTTTGACTCATCAAATACCAGTGCTCAGATTAGCGCATGGGCAAACGCACGGCTTGAGTGAAGAAGACTAGCGTAGCTCAGTCCGAAAAAATCATAAAACAGTGTGTGTAAACGACAATCTCTCTCCCTAATAATCTTTTAATGAAATAAACTGGAAGCTTCCTTGGGTAAGACGCTTATGAAGCAATAAAGTGGTACTCTTACCCGTGAATAGCCATAGAACATAAAGCATCTAGCTATTTTTGTACTTAATGAAGAAACCGAACAACAAAATCCGGTAAACAAACACTGCTTCGATTTTCAAGTCATCCTCGATTGGTGAAACTTCTTATCTAGTTTGAGTATACCAGTAGGGTATCCACAGCGGCTTCCTAGATTTATTAGTGCGCCTTATCTCAGGAAGATACTCATCCGTTATGTAAAGCGTTTTAATGGCTTTATTTTTGTTCGCAAGTCTTGGTGTTTGCTTCACTACACTTCTAACTAGCTATTTTGCGCTTTATTTGATTATCAAAATAATTGCTCTCATTATGCAGGATTCTTTGATTCTGATTGCAATAGTAAAGACAAAATTTTGGTTAGTTTTTTTTACGCTCACGTTTTACACTGATCTTTGGGTACGTTTACAATAATGAAACAGCATCAAATACACAAAAAACGAACATTTTCTAGCGAACTTACTCCTGAACAATCTTCCAGTTATTAGGCTCTTATGAGAGTTTCCTTCAAAAATTCAATGTTTCTAATGGTAATACGTGAGACCTGGATAAACCTTTTATTGTTTCCATCATTATTACCACCTATATTTTTTCCCAGATGGTTTGCAAGTTATCAATCACTTACCCAGACTTGCGGATGAATACGAAACTATATGGGTTCAGAATAAGTGGACGGTAACAGTTTCAGCTAATCACGTATGGGGCGATAGAATCCATGCTTTTGTGTAACTAACTCCGCGTGAATAGGTAAATGTTCTACGCATAACTGCCATGTTCATTCATATATATTCATGGTTCTTACGATGAGTATTCCAGAGCTGTGGATTAAATTCCCTCGTGAGCATTCTGGCACATCACAGGTCGAGTCTTATTCTTCCAGTCACCCTAATCAAACGCGTTAAACACAATGATTGCACCATCATTTGAAATCTGGCACCCAACCGATCGGATTTCAATCGATGAAATGTTGCTTAATTGAATTAGATACTTGAGTTTATCCTGATTCGGAAATCAAAACTGTACTTTCTTTTGATCTCAAAACTAGACCGAACATTTCTCGTCACACTATCACACATTTTTCAAAATATTAGTGAACAAAATACTGGCGCATTAATAAATCAAATTTGGATTCTGGTAGGAAGAGGAGTGACGTAAATTGTAACATTGCGATCAGGAAGGCGGATTCGAATTAGTAACTTACTACGCCGATGGTCAGTACCGAAGATTACTAAATTTGTGAAGAACAACAGTGGGATCAAGTTTGTTTAGAAATTCTAATAATGTTGGGTATAAATGTAGATGGTAAAAGTTATATTACAGCATGTTATAAGGTACCACTACTGTTGGTTGCTGTATTAGTATCAGTAGTAGTAGTAGTAGCAGTGGTAGCAAAATAGTGGTGCTAAATACCATTGCCATGACTATCATACACACTACCTTTGGTATCATCACTATAACGATAACTAATTTTGCTACTTCATGAATCATCAGGCATACATTGAAGTGAAGTTTTGATAGTGGACACAATTTGAGTTGTCCGCTAAGAGGTGATTAACCACACAACAGATTCGAAAAAATTAAAGACTGTTTAGTACCGCTAACCACAAAGGTGTCCGGTGTGGTGTTATGCTAGCCATAGCGTAAATGTTAACCTATCACATCTCAGAGTACACGATCGTGGGTCTCACTCGCTGACGAATCTCATGTGAATAGAAAGCACCCATGTGTGAATATCTATGTATGCTGAATATTCTTCCTTCACAGAAAGAAAGATTCGCCCGACACTGAAATCTTACCAGAGGTCCAGAAGCATCTTTCAAAATACCATTTACTTCAAAAATACTAAGGAGGCAAAGGACTTGTGAAACATATTGGTGCTGCATTGAATTTTTATTTCTGTTGTCCTCCAGATAGTAATAAATGACCTTTTCGGGGCATTATGATCCGGTATGAACTGTTGATACTCCTATATTATCATGGACGGGCTGATCTCGAACCCTGGAATAACTCCACATGATTTGAAGTCAGCTTTGATGACCTTCTGTCCACCGCGGTCAAAATGTAAAATGATGCAGTGTTTGCAATCATCTGAGGCAGGTTGCTAGCCCCAAGTCAATCTCACCGGAATTCAGTTCGTTCACTTCTGTTTAAGGGCAGAGTAGAATAAGTTGAAAAGCAATAGTCAGTTGAATAATGTCCGCGGTTGTGGTGTAACTTTAGATTGATGAATCATTTGGATTTAGCACAACATAACTTGAGAATGCTTGAAAGCAGTCATCAGTACTCAATGTTTTTACTCAACTTCATGTGAACATTTTACAAAGGAACAGTATAATCCAAAACTGCTTGTATATATTAGCATTTGTCTTTAGTGACACCATTCAGTCTGACGTACTCCAAAATGATTTATACAGAAAGCTTAGTTACAGCTTGCGAATCACGTTATCGGCAGAGATTTTATCTGGAATGAATGAGCACACGAATTTTGTGCTTCATTGCAAACAGAAGCTCGTTTGATCTTGGCACTGACGAAATAATAACACTGTTTTTTCGCTCAGGAGCCTATAGGAAAGATACCTTTATGATACAGGCTAGTCACTTTTTGGATGACGAATTGCAGCCTTCCAAAGCTGAAAAAGGAAAGATGCTTTACTATTCAACAGAAGCCTAAAGCAAGCACCAGTAAAAATCATCATATAGATGAACTTGCGAGAAAGTCACAAAAATACACGTGTTTCGTTTCTATTCCTAGTGTGGACTTGGCAGATGGGCACGGGATTTAAAAGTCCATATTAAGCGAGATGCAACTACTGCTCCACACTCCCAAGATTTTGGTCGGTGAGTGAATTATTAGTTCCCCAAATACTGTAGGAATATCTTATTTAAACCTAACTGCATGCTGAAAAGTGGTTACAGCTGAAGAACGAAATACAAGCTACCGGAGATATGTGGAGGTCAGTAATACCAGATTAGAATGTGATGTTAAACGTCTACATTCACACTGGTTCGTGTGGCTTGACAGTGGTCAGGCAGTGATCACAATAAATTGTAGAATTTTTGGGTCACAATCTCGACGCAGCTGATTGATCCCCCTGTGCAACAGCATTAAACAGCTTGTATCTCTCTTCCAAATATGACACACTATTACTGTATTATAAGCAAAATAAAATAAAACACTGCCACCAATAATAATTTCACGGCTATTTGGCTTTGTCATTCTGATGCAATCGTTTCATCAGAGTTTTCAAAAACTGCATGAAAGTAACATGCAGAGTTCTTTGCGTGGATTTCCAACGGAAATCTGAAATCAAACAGGTTGCTACTCTAGAGTGTCTCTTATGATTCTGTGTTCATGAATACTTCCAGTGCCTTTGGAACCTGTGAATCACTGTTAGAAAAGATTCGTTCAATAAAACTCAAATCTTAACTGTCCGACCTCGGTGTAAGTTCTTTGTGCCATATTTTTTCGCGTCGTTTGGTGTTGACACGTTTCTCAAATCCTCCCTACTTAAATTCAAAGGACTGTCTATAACCAGCATCATGGCAAATAAAGCGGAAACTATTTTCGTCGAAGTATAATTAGCCCTAACTCAATGAACTGCTTGCTTCCCACCACGTTTACGATTATTATTTTTTCACGACCTATAGTAACATCCAAGTTTACTGAAACTAAAACATATAAGTTAGAAGAAAGGGGGTGGAGCTACAAATATTCAGCTTAGTTACCATAAAATAAATAATGATAAGTAGCCGGTCCGCAGGTTCGTTTGACTTTCTCGTATGAATGCTACAATAATGCCTGTATTCAGCCAATAGGTTCACATGCAGTCGCCGACTTAATCTGTTTACAATTAGAAAACTTACTGTCTACTAGGTATTGGATGGCTGTAACGTGAGAAGTTTAAGATAACTTCAGAGTGAAGAACAACTCTAACATTTGATTAATTAATGAGTTTAAAACTTATAAGCTCAGGTAAACTAATATTCCGTGTGTTAGTAAAATCACTAAATCATCAAACAAATGTCGACAAAACTCAACCGTCATTTTGGTTGCCAGTGAAGAGAGAGTTGCTTATTCTTTGAAATTAATAACCTTCATTTGAATCTTCTCGTTCAGAGCAAAAGGCGACAAATCTCAGTAAACAGCTATCCAGTAAATGTTCTTGATCCTTGATTCTCTGGCTCCATTTCTTACGATGCAATTTTCCATGTTTCACCCACCTAGTACAAACCTTACCTGTATTTTCTGTTGGCGAATAGAATTGAGTCCGCTATTTCAGTTAACATCACCCAGACTGTGGGTCTAAGAATTGTTCACCTCCAAAAAATTCATCACGGTGACGCCGATGAGGAATCAGTTTCGTAATCATTGTTGCGTTATACAACCAACTATATTACAGGAACCTCCAGTTGTTCTTTGGCTCATAATGGAATTCATTACCAGTTGCAACTGCTTACTGATTCCTAAAACAATCAAAATATCCTAATAAACCTCTGGGTAAATTCAGTCTATATTATGGATGAGTTTATCGAATTATGATCATCTGTTACTTATTAGAAGAGATCATCTCAATGTACAACCTAATTTTGTTGCCAGTTTTGATCCTGGAATAAAACCATTCTGGAAACATTTGCGATGCGTTATTTAAGCTCACTTTCCTTAAGCTCCTGATAAGAATACGTTCGAAGGGTCCATCGGAGATGACAGAGCATAGCCATCTATAATTAGAACAGTTCAGTGTCCCATTTGAAATATATACAGTTCCCCTGGTAGTAAACATTACCCCACTATAATAATTCACAGTGAGTTATCAAAACTCACATTACTGAGGCTCTCGATGAGAATACTTCCATCGTAGAATTCCATCGCTGCATGGATAAACTTCCAACCTTTAAACACAGGCTAGGCGGTATTTCATGTCGCACTGACATGAAATAGACCGCTCAGTGTCAGTCCAATTAGCCAAACGGGTACAGCTTGGGGCCCAAAATCCTGTGCGCTATGCCCGAGTTCCTGCTTGAACTTGCGTTCCTTATTACATTTGGAAAACCAGTCGAAGAGCTGAACAGCTTTCTTGAATGATTAGTGTGTATTCTCTCATCGATGGTGGTCTGGAAGTCGATAAGCTTTTCAGTGAAAAGTGACTACATCTTTGCTCAGTATTATATCTATGGCCCAACAAGTGTCAACTTTTCTTTCCCTACCAAGCTTTTTGAGAATTTAAAAATTGACACTGAATGCCCAATTATCTTCAGTAATCGGATTTCGAACCAATGCGAAACCAATTTACAATCGTCACCTAACTGGACAACTACAAACAGTTTTTGAGAATAATCTATTATTCATTACGAGAGAGCAAAAACCGTTTTCTGCTATTCTTTCAAACAGCCATGGCATGAATACAGTCGTTTCACACTACAAAAAGGAGTATTGATAAGCCATTACTGTTCTGCTTGTATACAAATTCATAGGAGGCACTGGGTGGGATTCCATGGGATCACCATCGTAGATTTCATCTCCAGGCCTAGTCATCTTCCCCTGAGATCATTAAAAAGACTTCTGAATTAAGTATGAGAATCTGGTCATAATGACTATCATGGTTTGAGGAAATTCATTATTATAGCGTGAACTGACAGAACTTCCAAGAGACAGTTACCCGACTTGAGCAAATACTACATAAGGGTTTCACGCTGTCACTAGAAGACCGTGAACTGTATGAGTGCTCTAAGTCATGTTTCTATCAATCCCTTCGAAGCTTTGCTAGTCAGTTTGCGATAAATGTAGGCTTCGTAATTTCAGTACAATTTTCCAGACTTTTAAGGCCGCTCGCTATACTTAACACTTACTTGTGCCGTGTTTTACTAAAAAAATTTTGTATATTTTACCGATAACCGGGAGTGATTCATCGTAATCTAAGCTTTTTCTTCCCAAGCCGTCTGTTGTAATTTTCTGTTGTACCTTTGGATTATCGGAGACCAGAGATTTTACAACTTTGCAAAATAGCACATTTTTTGACCAGGACATCGAATCAGATTCATTTCAATCGAACCCGTGTGACCTCCGTAGACAAAATCATTTTTCATGAAGTGTATAAAAGTTATCGCGGCTGAACAAAGCACAGCAATTAACATGAGCCCAGATTAAAACCGTGACGATAAAACAGGTCACACATGGACAACAGAAACGTACTTTCGCTGTATAACTGACAGAGATCTGCGATAATTTTGAATGGATAGTTATCGGGATATTTGCACTTCCAGATGCTCTTTTGATATAGAGTAAAAGGAATGTGATAGCAAAAGCAGATTTTAAAAACTAAAGATAATATAACTCATTACAGTAGGGTCCATCCAATAACGTTTACCGGAAATCTACTGGAAATCGGCAGATATGCGCTGCCAAAGATTCATGTTAAAAAGCTAGATGGAATATATCTACACCGTGTTTGCATTAGTTTACCCGAATATGTTGTGCGCTGCTGCTGCATGATTAGGCATTCCGTCACAATTCATATCTTCTATCCGTTCAACCAAACAAGGCAAGTTTAGCTTGAATACGAATTTTAAAAATTCTCATTATATTATTTCTTTCCATCAATTCATTATTTATTCAAACGTTTGGTGCGGTAGATACATTAGCAACAAATTTCTCGCTACTTCCTCGGTGGTTTCCACCTTTTGACATTTTTGCTGCTGTTTGCTTATTGGTAATGACCAATAACAGCTTACTTCCAATGGTGAGAACGTGTTTAATTAAAAGATGTAGAGTACATTAAGTATATGTATTGAATCATTTTCCCCAGCCGGAAGGTTGCCTTAGTGAACCGCTTGTCAGTCTACTCTGTTCCTGGTTTCAGTGTTTTTCAGTCGAACCTTTCTAGTACCAGTAACGTCTGTTGCCTACTGAATGTGACTGAATTAGTGCTGCTGAAACACTCAGATGAAAGAAGCAATTTATTGCTTTCATTCACACAAATTTCAATATATTAACATGATTTTTTCGGTAATGAGCAGATACTGATTCATGTGTGTTCACGCTAGTAGACTGGGATCGGCTAGAGAAACGCCAGGATTTCTAACATCAGCACAGACTAATATTAAGTTGTGATATAAGTCAGGAAAAATATACTCACGATGAGCAACAGATTATGTCGCCAACCATAAGTTCGTTCTGCCGCAACCTATAGAATGTTCATTTTTCACTTGGTAGTGAGACACGTAGTAGTATTGGTAGCAGCAGTAGTAGTAGTAATAAGAGGAATGGGAGTAATCGTAGTAGGGCTAGAAACTCATCTAGGGAAAAATAGTGATACCAAAATTAAATTTCATTCATACGAAAGGGTGATTATGGGGCTTTGGTATCAAAAACCAGTAATCCACTACTGATACTGAGAAGAAGTTCGTGGAATGAAGACTTTCCCATAGCCACCAAGTCAGCACTACTCTGTCGCACTGAGATGTAGAAGATTTGCGTAACTTCTCACTCCAGACCCAACTATTGAGGTTACCGATCGATATGGCAGCGCAAACGATTTCTGTGAGTGTGTGGATTCCCATGCCACCCAAGGAATCAAGTAAATACTAGTGCAAACTGGTCTTTTGGACGCTGATAAATCAGAAATTTGAGTTAGAAAAAGTACTGGTATGTCTCGCCTAGTGCTAGTCAGGTAAATGTGTCATTGTCTTTTTCGGGAATAACCATTTACTGTTGTCCTTTGGGCCGGGACCAATAACGGGTCAGATTTTATAGCCCATGATGCCTAAGCCAAATTGAATCCTAGCACAAACAACTGGCTATGAGAATTCGGTTGCTATTTTACCAACTACTGATTTTGTATTTTCTTCTAACCAGGTTATTTAGAATGTAACAAACGGTTACAGCAGATTTATTTTACGCAACAGCATTTCATACTTACTTTGCGATTCTCTCGTACTTCGAACAGAGAACAAGAAAAGGGTGAATGCAACGATAAGAAACATCATTGAGGCTCCTTTCCTTTTTGATTCAGTAGAGTTCAGTGAACGGACCAGTTATTTCAGGATACTTTCTTATATACGGCCTGGTTAGATGGTTCAAGTGATGAAGCTACTCAAAGCCTTGGCCATAAAGTCGATCGGATTTGACCTCCTCCTGTTCTACCCCGGTCTAGTTTGCCATGTTTTCTGTATACCTATACACAAATATATGCATGTAAACACACACATGCATACTGTCCTGGAGCTATCTGAGTGCAACGTAGGTATGTTCGCACTCACTCAGTATAAACGCCTCTGTATTGATTATGTCATCAGTCCTCAGATTTTTGAACCGACCAATTTAGTCACAGTCGTCCTTTCTGTTGAATTTAAAACAACACGTAAGTGACTTTAAGTTAACGACACAGTCTCCTTTTACAGTTATTGAGGTGCCGATTTGTGTTATGATGGCTTTTACACCAACAGAACTAAAAACTACTGGAAGGCTATAATTGTTCTTCTTGGAGCCCTCTAGAAATAACCTCCCGACCCTTGTTAGGTTTTCTACAAGGTCACAAACTTCAATCTTTAAAATGTAGCTTCATTAGTCCACTTCAATAAAATTAAGACAGATCCGGCCGATCTGTCTACTGTGTATTTCCTGATAAATCCCCAGCCTTTGTTTCAATATCCCGTTCCCTTTTTCAAAATCCTGAAGCTTTCAGTTGTCCTTGACAATTTCTAGCCTGGCTCTAATCACTTCCGAAATATGAGCCATAAAACCAGGATAAAACAATGATTTTCCGAAACTCTTGACAACAGTTTTGAGGAACTCTAGAAGACTGTACTTTCTCATCTCTTATTTTCTACTTATATATGCGACCTGTCGGTTTCCTCTCCGACTGATATATTTAAATACTCTGACAGTGTGCGTTGTCTGTCTGTTTCCGACCTCTGCAACTTTAAAAACTTCAGTAAATACTAATCTTGAACAGAATATGTTTCCAGTGAATGCGGTTCATACCTAAACAACTCCAAGCACTTTGAATGTGTTTCCAAAACCTTTCTTTCTCTCTTTACAAAATTATGTTTTCTTTAGTTCCAAATCGTTATGTAGAAAAACTCAGACAAGTATTTGGGAGTAAACTTCATTGTCAATCGACAATGAAAAACTCACATTTAAAAGTGTTCTGGAAACCGAGATAATTTCGGGCACCGCCTCAGTTATTTTCAAGTTCATCTTCAAATATGTACTCCTCAACCTGTGCAGAAAATGTTTTTAGCTCACAGGATAACGAGACGGAAGTCGTACTGACGTGATTGATAACAGGTCACCAATCGAACAACGCTTAGCTCGTAGCGAGAAAGCAAAAGTCACAGGGAACAGGGATGTTTATGCGAACCCGCAGAACAAAGAGTACAAAGTGAGAAATGAGACAGGACTTACAGGGGGGATGCAATGTCGACCGTCAAGCAAGTAACAGCTTGGTTTGGATGGCCATCAAAGTTTATACGTGGAGTGGCAATAAAGGTGATGATTGTCAGAAATGAACCTAGTGTGATTACACTTTCGACTAGCGACCTCCAAAAGTATCTTCTATCGGGTCTTAAAGCAAACTGGGAACGAAATCTCCGCAGTCGAAAGAATAGAGAACACTCTTGTCCGCAGATAGATGTGGTAGTGTATTCTATAGATCGCGGGACCAAAAAAATATCGAAACAAGAAATTCATGGAAAGCAAACGAACTCTACGGCGAAGTGGAAACTGAACCGAGTGTACACATTCGGCGAGAACCGGAAGTGTGTCAAGGACGAGGTCTACGGAAACCTCACGAAAGTCGATTTAATAAGCCATACTAGTTACTAGTTACCAAAATATAAGACACCCCTGGATATTTTTTCTCTCAGTGAGGAAATAAGCAGGATGAATGCAACGAATGTCATTTTGCACATGAGGTTATAAAAGAGGTTATAAACTACATACAAACTTCTACCTAAGTGGATATTACGCATATTACCATTCGGCTGCCTTGTCTCTACACGTAATAAGTTTTTCCAGGTACCTGCACACAAAGTGTGCCAATGGAGCCACGATAGCACTGGTTACCCCCTGATTCTTTACGTGCAATATTCTCGTCTCCTTAGTTCAATGTGGAGAACGTTTGGTAACTTGGTTCTCCAACACTGAAAATAAATTCTCCATCGGAATCCAATCAGGGTTGTTATGAAGCAATCGTGGCAACATTACCTTCAACGTATTTATGGCTTGGCTACTGGTACCGCATATAAAAATAAGTAAAAATAATTATAGATACCATGAGTCAATAACAAGCATCAAACTAGTCTTCCGAGAAGAACCACTAAACCTAAGGACTAGGAACATTCTTTTTTGTGAGGCCGGATAATCCTGCGTGGTTCGGGTACGGAGGATCATACTCTCCCAAATCAAGGTAATCGCGATCTGATGCAGTTCATTTCAACCGGAAAAAGTGTTTTAGGACGTTTAATCAATAAAATTATTCTCCATGGATCTCTTACTAGGAGTCAGGTATTTTTGGCCCACAAATTTCAATATAGTGCACTGAAAATACAACGATAGACGAACCAAATAACGATGAAATTTTAAATTTGAGCGATTACAAAAAGGACACCACCTTCGTTGGATTTATGATGTGGGTTTCAAATCCATTGAACGATGAAGAAGCTTACTTTGCCTGTCCTTCTCTTCAACGGCACACCATCACTTACTGAGGAACCTACCTAGTGCATAAATTTGTTTTCTTTTGAGCATCCGTTTTTTATCAGGCTGCAGAGAAAATCATTATCCTGGTCGAAGTAACTGACTTTTCGCCTACCGCGTCCTTTTTGTCACCATTTTTCGTCTGAATAATGTGAAAAACTAGTTCATTTCCGAAAAAGGTCTGAGCAGTAAGTAATAGTGAGATATGTGCAAAAATGCCTTCTTATAACTTTATTTCTCTCGTGTTCATTGAAGCATTGGAACGTTTTTCTCCTGACATTTCGTTTTTCCATCATAGTGAAAACAAAGTGGGTGAATGAGGATAGTATGCTGGATAGTGCTCTTCCGTGAGGTTTGCAATAATTCGATCTACACACATAGAAAGAAGTTAAATTAAGTACTCCAGAGCTCACTGAGTGTATGAGCTGGCGCCAACACCCACATGAAAGGAGTAAACATTCACACGGTAACGACTGCGAGGGCTGAACACGATACCGACGAGCGAACACGACGGAAACGACAACTGCGACGACGAGATACTCTTCCGCATCACCGACAAAGGACAGGCTGTCAGGATCGTCGGATGTGTGCTGTATGCCGTGTTTTTCCATTTGGGGTGCACATGCAAGACCGGGAAATGCATAAAAGAAAGGAAAATTCAATAAGCGAAAGTCCTTTAGGTGTATAAGCAGGCACCAGCACTTACTGCTGAGTCTTTGCCAATGCTTTTCAATTTATATCCCGGAAATTTTTAAAGAAGGGCCCTCAGTTAACCTTGGTTTTGAGATCTTGCATTTCATGTTGACCGGCTGTGGTCAAACGGTTATCATTGTGGACTTTGAACAACAACGACGCCGGTTTCGATTCGCGACACCTCCGGTCACTTCCCCATTCTGTTGCCTTTACTGGCCGCAGCCCTTTCCTGAATCGTTGTACACCGTTGTGTAATAAATTAAAATAAATTAAAAAACTATTTATTTTACTATATAACGGTTTTTTATGTAAGCTCAGAGTCAACCGTGGAACTGTTATTAAGCGACGTCACAATGGAGTATTCGCAAAGTGTTTTTGCTTTGTTTTGCTAAACGTAAATATAATCGACATTTAAGCAAATAAGAACTGCTGTTGGCCGAATCGGCTTTTATTTATCAGTGATCAAAACCAGTTTTCGTGAATTTGACCCTCATTATTCTGAAACTATTCTCTTTTTTTCTTTTGGTAAATCCGGTCTTCCAAACCTCATACTAATATATTAAGTAGTCAAGGTAAGGCGGTTTCAACGTCCGATAGAACAGTGCAGAACTATCGTACCCAATAATAAGTAACGGACAATTTACCATTCTTTACTCTTTCTTGTTATATTACAGTAGAATTTTGGATAAAACTCAAAAGAAAATATTTTTCATTCGAAGTAATACACTAACTGTATGTCCTTGTTCTATAGAAATTTCAGTTTGACACACTGAGGCGATGGCTCCCTCAGAATAGTAGATTTCCCCACTTTCATTTCTATTAACAAAGCCAGTCATCCCGTTCTGATGACAACTACATAAAAGGATGCACTTCCTGCTGATTTGAACCGCTTCTTCTTGGTGTTCACCCTACCAGTATTGTCGAAACTCCCCAGACATTAGGGCTTTTTGAAATAATAAGTCTCCATGATCAAAAGTCTCACCCGCGCAAAATGTCAACATTATACAGAAAACCTGAGGTAAGTGCTGTCTTGTACGTGTGAAACGATTTTCTAATAGTATTACATTTATGACTTTCATGATGAAGCTGTGAATAGTGACCCGTGAAATTTTCAGTCATCTTGCTTCCGTAAAACTCTGTAACAAATGGATACATTTATCAAGGTAATAAGACATGACGTTGCGTATCATTCTACAGTAAGACAGTTTACCTGGAACAATTATGCAGTAGACTAGGAACATTTATATTTTAACCCCGGGGCAATCGGAGGTTTTCCGATGGCTGTTGCACACCAGAACATTATTGAGTTGTCTTCCTTGCAGAAGGAAGAAAGTACCACTTTCATACTGCTCTGAGAGCATCACTCATAAGGCCTATTATCTCTCGTGTCTTGCTGGTGCTGTAGAATACAAAACTTTTCACAAGATTTGTGATTTTGCTTGCTCGTGTATCCAACATTTGTGACTCACCACTGATGGCAGACTGGTAATATGGTAAATATCGGAAAAACTAGAACATGCTTTGCCTCACTGATCGCATTTTTGCTCGTCCAGTGAATGCATCACAGGTGGTAGGACCGAAAAAACCCCGCTCAGATATCCGGAGCAAAATATTTTTTACTCCTTGTGCAATGATGCTTCGTTACCAATGTAATTAGATCGTGCTTCACTCATAGTTTTGATGCCGTCTGCTTTCTTCGAGCAACATGTTTCACTTATTCACTGCATTCTTCTGAATATGCATTTAAAAGCTATACAATAACACCTTGGATAACATTGGGTACACTATCTTCCAGTTGTTTATCCAAACATCTGGCACCGTTGTGGCAGTTTGTGAGTCTAAAATCAATAGTAAACGGCTACCGGGTCAAAAAACCACAACGGCTTTGAGAATAGTTCTAGGAATACAGAAAATGACACTCAGTGCTCCAAATATTTCAGTGTGAAAAAATCATCACTTAAAGTTATTTGAGCAAATAATTCTGCGAATTCCCGTCGAACAACATGGAATTATATTAAGACCACAGGTTGAGCAATTGGGAATGAGTCAGTCACATCCCATCCTCTTAGCTAATTGCACTGCACTGTCTGCAGCCTGATGAAAAATGCTTGTAAATGATCTGATCGGCCCCGTTGGTTCATCAGAATGGGCCTACCCGAAGGTCATTCTGATTGAAAACGACGAAATGCGCGCATTTGTATTGGTCTTTTGGCTCTGAATAAATAGGTATTAGTAAACGAATTGGTGCTGCCTTCCTGTGAAGACCACCTTGTCAAGATGGCTGGAGCCCCGTTCATCACTGCAATGCTTTCTCTCACATACTGTTAAGAAAGCAATATAATCACCCAAATGCTTTCCTGACAACACAGGGTTTACTTCAACAAAGGTCCTCCAAATGGGGCTTCTTCAGCTTCTGTAGCCTGACAGAATTTTAAGACGTAGTGTCTGGATGGCATGCTTGGCACCATTGTATACCTCAATGGTATTTTTAAGCTTGGCAGTTGCTGAAAAAAAAACATGATGAAGAGCTGGATACTTTGCTCAGAATACTTCAAGAATTCAACCTCCTACTTTATGACTGCAAGTGCACTTTTATCTCCGCAGGGGTAAGGTTTTATGGCATATGATGTCTTCTGAAGGTGTCAAACCGAGCCAAGACAAGGCAACAGCCAAAACCGACGCTCCAGTTCCTATCAACGCTTAACCAGAGAAGAGCTTCCTTGATATAAACTCGTATAACGTCCAATATGTGCTTCAGTTCGCTCCAATCGCTCAGCCGTTACGAGCACTCAACAGACCCAGAGGTAAGTTGCTCTCGGGAGCAGGACACGACCAAACGTTTACCATAGTGGAACTAAACGTCTCGTCTTACCCACGAAGCCAAATATTGTGTTCGGCTCCAGTCTCTGCACAACACATAGTAGGTGCCATTCATTTACTTGTAAGAAAGTAAATGCAATCCGATCATAGCCTGTGAGTAAGAAGCTACCCCACGAACAAGCAAGTAACTGTGCCCGCAACCAAGTAAAACAGAAGAGCTGCATCTGTTTTCAAGGGCAAATGATCAAAGTCATTCGACGCAGACATAGTCAGTCAGTCACTACTATCCTTGCTAAAGCACGACTAGAGATCGACAGCAGGCAAGGGTTTGTGTTTGCATGAGACGGATAATACTGTCTTTTCCGCGTAGTATCAGTCACTCTGACCAGATACAAATTTATTTGATCTTTCAGTCAGTGAGGCATCGCAGAATGGTTGAACTGGCATTTAGGTAGACAGTAATCAGCAAACTTCAGATGCGCTGAACGACTCCTCGTTAACAATTGAAGAAGGAAAGCGGAGTTTCGGTCTGATGGGCAATAATTTGAGGGTGAAAAAGTTTCAATTCATATTTTAAAAGTGCCTATGGATTGGTAGATATAGCACCAAATATCAACTGTGGGTAGTATATAATCGAGGAAGCAGCTAAGAACTGGAGATATGTTGCATCTGACCATAGAAACTGGTTTTCTTTTCGATCTGAAATATGGCTAGGGAAGTAAATACCATTAGTAGCAGTATACTGTTTGAACCTAAACTATGCGGATTTTTACACGTTATATGAGGTTTACCATGCAGCATGAGCTTTGAAATCATTGAAATGCATGAGAGCACTGTACAGCTGTTTTATCCTTGTTAGAACTCATCAGCAGTGCACTTCAAGCAAAGCCCCAAACTGGGACTCGAACCCATAACATGCGCCTGTGAATGGAACACGTTACTCAAGTGGCTCATATAAAGTTAACTATTATCTTCAACTACCGATATATTAACCCAGCTCTGCAAGTTATTTGCCGAGTGCCTTCTCTGAATTAGGCCCTGCAGAGAAGTCGTCTAACATAGGAGTCGCTTGCTGTGCGGGAAATGCTCCGCTAACATTTAAAGCCAGTGTCAGAAGGGCGGTTCATCACGCAGCGTGTAAGTACAGCAAAACCTTTGAGAGCCAGCAGTAATAGCCTTTTGGTTAAGATGTTTGATTCGCAATCTTTCACCCCGGATTCTGGTCCCAGTTGGAGGCTCGTTGGATGTCCACTGCTGATGGTTCCTAACAAGGATGAAACAGCTGTACAGCGCTTCCACGGTTTTCAGTGGATTGGGAGTTCACTCTGCAAGACTAGTCTCATAATATGTGAAATCTAATCTCCACTTATATTACAGGTTATTTGGTACTTATGAATGAAGAAACGTAATCGCTTTCGTAACTGAATAGATGCGTAAATTTTACTTTGTCCTGTAGTACGAATATCATTTAATCCCAAAGAACAAGTGAATATAGCAGCAATATCCCCTGTAGCTATTGTCTATTACTTCACTGTGTTTCTGGGATAACCACGCAGCAACCCAGTGCGACAATGACAAAAAGACGAAGTAATAACTCAGTTAAAAATGGATTTATTCTCAAGATTATCTCCGAGTTCATATTTGTTGTCACCGAAACGAAACAAACGTAAAGTTCTGGTTGATCCAAAGCACCATATGATATGCCTTCCAGGGTGATCATTTGTAAAAAGGTGGTGAATGTTTCAAGACAACCTCGCTGAATTATGTATTCAACAGTTATTTCTCATTCGGTATAGATTATTTATAATATTTGACCAGATAAACAACATTTGATTTACTTTCTGATAAACCTGCTTTTTGTTGTGATAAATAAAATGAATTAAGGAAACGCATTTTTTCATCACAGTCAATGAAGTGACCTCTGACCAATGTAGTGACCTAGATGGCTCTGAAAAAATGAACATTGTTTGGATATCATTTGAATTTATTTTCTCCACAACCTTTTCTGACCCTTGGTTTCGACAGCACTGTTTTCTTCGGAGGCTTACATTTTACTGAACTGACCTTCGCGAGGTTTCCGTCGACCTCTCATTTGAGA